AGCTGCCAAGTTCACTACATTCAGACCCTGTGGTGCCATGTAGTAGGCGCTCACCCTGAAAACTTCCATGGGGACTCCAGCCACCTAAAGAGAGGAGGTTTAATATAAATATTAAATAATATATATATATATATATATATATATATATATATATATATATATATATATGGAGGGAAAGGAAAGAAACACTGTATAGGAGTGTGTTGCTTACATCCTCTGAATAAGTCTCTGCTGTATTGTACGGGCTTCGCATAACCAGACGACTAGAGGTAGTTTTGGCAGCGTAGCCGGCTTGTTCAGCCTCTTGCAGCACCATGGCCACTGGTTCTGGGGTGTAAAATGTCATCTTCCAGATACCTTGTGATGCACCAGAGGCCTACAGGAAAGAAAAAAATTATGAAATCCTCATTGATGTAGGGAGGAATTAAACTGTAGTATCTGAACGGTTTAATTCAACATACTTCAGGATTGGCGTTGAGCTTATCGTCTTTACCATCCCGAGTCTGACCCTTAGCTTCAGCATCAAGGTTAGCTATGTGGTGCGAAACCTAAAACAGAAAATGTTGGTTTTAGCATTTGTTTCCACACACAAGATAGTGGAACCATCAATGTACAGATGACCTACTTCCATGTAGTTCCTGTCGCAGAGGATCTCCATGGAGGCCCAGCGAGTGTAGCTGCAAGTCTGAGACACGTCATGACTGACCACGTCTGATGGATTCTCGCCGTACATCTGGAGTCTCAAACCAACGTCAAATGTAGCATCATCCTATAAATATAAAAAAAACTAAATTAAGTGAAACTCCCCAATATTTTTTGGTTCCAGCGTCTTTATCCTTGAAAATGTAATATCCTTGCCTTCAGGGACATATTTGAAGTCTAAATGGATATGTTTGTATGTAACAAATGAGTCAAGAAAGTACCTAGTAGAGGAATACAGTTTTGAGTAGAGCAGTGTTAATATTTTAGGAATGTACCAAACAAAAAGGGAAATGTACTTTGTGTCTTGTAAGGGTAAGGGGTTAAAAATAAATTCAGGGAGCAACCATGTGCTTGTTGAGCCATTAACTCATTACTTGAGACAGAATTAGCACATGTGGCCCCAACTAAACTTTATAGAAAATTACATTGGATGCTGCTAAACCACTTTAGCTCAAAACAAACCTTGTTGTCCACAAAGCAGCCCATCAGGGAGGTGTAGATTCTGGTGTTACCCCACGGGTCAGACTCCATGCTGTATCCACACTGAGCAGCCATGCTAGGTGTCAACAAAATGTGCTTGGTGCCATCTGAGGGGAGAAAATAAGCTTTGTCAGGGACCCCTTTCCTCAGTGACGAACCAATAGGCTCATTATTCAACCCAGTCTCACAGCATTTCGTGTTATTAGTGACGAAATTTATTTAATCTATTGATTCGTGTTCACCAACACGATTTTCACCTTTTTTTCGTGTCACACAGAACGATTTTAAATGCAATGTATTTCTATTGGTAGTATGTTTTGTGCCTGCAACACGTCTTTTTGTCCGGTCGGGTCTTGGAAGACCAGAAGCTGTGTGGTTCATAAAAACATGAGCCTAACCCTATCCCTTTGATTTTAAATTGTATAATGTCTGAGTTTTTTTGCCGTCAGTGAGGAAAAGAAATGGGGCTCAGAGCCTCAGAATACTGAAATCTGTATTTTATGTCATATTTTTTTCCTTCTAATTTGTTATTATTTGGTGCAGGCACGAAACATACTACCAATATAAATACATTGCTTCTAAAATCGTTCTGTGTCAGAATACTTAAATCTGTATATTTTTAAATGTCTTTTTCCTTCTAATTTGTTATTATTTACATTGCTTTTAAAATCGTTCTGTGTGACACGAAAAAAATGGCAAAATCGTGTTGGTGAACACGAATCAATAGATTAATTTCGTGACTATAACACGAAATGCCGTGAGACTGTGTTGCATTATTAGCAGTTTAAATACTTACCGATAGCCTCCACCTCAAGCTGGTTTCCCACTGCTAAAGCCTTGTCCAACGACAGTCTCATTACATTTGCGGCACAGTCAGACCTTAACCCACTGCCTGTTCAAAGAAAAGGCTTGTGAGGAGAATGTAAACAGACTGAACATGCTGTATAAAATGACTTAATGAGAATTGAAGCTTACTTGACTGCGAATGTAGCTTCACATTAGGCCTGGCTTTACCCAAGATGATAGCTGCAGCCATCCATAACAAACTTGAACACATACAACACATCATTTAGAGACAATTAAGTATACACATGGAAAGAAATCTACAAGAAATGTAACTTACATGTTCCCAAGCCTCAGCATGTTGCAGTTCGTAAGCAGCAAAACCCAAAACTAGAAGAATACAGCCAGTACCAGAGTGTGGCAATGTCCAGCACACCTTCCAACAAAAACACAAGTCTAAAATGAAGGGGACTGGATGATTAACTGAGACATCAGCAGCTGCTTTATATTCCACTTAACGACAAAGCACAGGTGAGGCTTGTTAAGGATTCTCCACACACACACACACACACACACACACACACACACACACACACACACACACACACACACACACACACACTCATACACACAGGGTGAGCTGATGTATGCCTAGTTTATTAAGAAGATATTGTAAAAACATGTGTATGGAAAGGAAAAACACACATTTTTCAGTAGTGTAAAAAAAGTATTTATTGTTCAGCAAAAGTATATAGATCTGTATTTGGTATTATAAATATATTACATTTTTATATTTCAAGAAGCAACAAAATAATCCACAATATAATAAATTAAACTTTTCCTTAAAACCACATGTGCTTTTGATTTTTCCTTTGCTACAGAGACTCATAATGACTGTAATCTAACACTTGATTATTGTTTGTATTTATTCTCAAACCTCCTTGCAAGATGATGCACTAACATTTATTAAAGACAGTAAAACCCGAGCTCATCGTTTCACCCGGGTCGATTAGTCTGCTCTGTCCAATTATGCAATGATATATGTTCATTTATGAGGCCATAACAATATTTTCCAACTGGAAGAGTGTTGAGTCCAGTGTTAATTTCGTCAACGAAAACTATGACGAAAAATGTTCGTCAACGACCTTTTTTACATGACTAAAACGAGACGATGACGAGCTAAAAATAGATTATTGATAACGAAAATTTGACGAAATGTATATTTAGTTTTCGTTGACGAGACGAGACGGGACTAAGGTGTTAATGGTGGACTATCGGACATTCAAAATGCAGGGTATTTCCCCCCAAGTGTCCGTCTTGTCTGTCAAAATGCATCTTACATTTCTAACTTGCAATATCATTATTTCCGCTCTCTTCACTCCAGAAGAGCGATCTCCCTCTCTCTCTGTGTGCGGGGGCGGGGCCTAACAGACACGCTGCAGCGGCAGAGAGATCTGCCGGGGACGGAGCGTTCAGAGAGTATAGAGACACTCTACAAGACTCGATGTGGACAAAGCTCGTTTGCCATGTTTTCGCGTTAGCGCGTTGACACGAGTAGAGTAGTCTGTCCAAACAGCCGGCCAAAAGGCGTCATATTCAGTCGGAGAAATGCACAATTTTCGACTTCCTTAACTCGTAGCTCTGTTGCCCCAATTACGAGTAACGTTATCACATCAAGTGTGCAGAGGTGGGAGAAGTACTCAGATCTTGTAGCTAAGTAAAAAAATACCATAGTGTAGGAAGTGTTCCTCAAGTCAAAGTATGATCATCAAAATATATTTAAAGTAGCGACAGTAAAAGTAGTCATTGTGCAGATTGGTCCATTTCAGAATAATATGATATGTTTTATAATGATTGATCATTAAAGTGTTCTCAAAGCTAGTAAAGGTGCAGCTAGTTTGAAGGACTTTGTATACTGCAGGGTAGCTTGTGAATTTACTAAACTCTGAGTTAACACTTGATTATATTTCACATCATTCATCCACATCTGTAAAGTAACTAAAGGTATTAAATACATGTAGTGGAGTAGAAGTACACAGTAGCAAAACATTTAAATACTCCAGTAAAGTACAAGTACCTCAATATTTTTACTCAAGTACAGTACAATATTTTAACATAATTATACATATTTCATTTATTTCACATTTAAATAAAGCAATTAATTCGGTTAACAATTTGTTAGTTTTTTCCTTTAAAAAATAACAAAAAGTAAATACAAGAATACCGTTAAAGTACCGGATCGATAAGCAGTATTGATAAGACTAGTAGTACCGTAGAAAACCTTAACGATACCCATCCCTAGATATTACACAAGTAAAGTGTTAAGAGAGTGAAATGTTGCTTTACGAATTTCAACACTTGATGCTGTCACCTTGATTCCAATGTCAGAAACCTGTATTTGCCTAACTGAATTGGTTTAAAGAGAGAAAATATTTTGACTAAAAGTTGACTAAAATGTAATTTTTCATCGACTAAAAGTAGACTAAAACGTTTTGAGTTTTCGTCGACTAAAACTAGACTAAAACGTTTTGAGTTTTCGTCGACTAAAACTAGACTAAAGCTATGAAGGATAGAATTGACTAAAATGTGACTAAAACTAATAACCATTTTCGTCTAAAGACTAATACTAAGACTAAATCAAAAACAGCTGCCAAAATTAACACTGGTTGAGTCAGTGCAGAAGAAGGAATAATCAATGCTCTGCTTAACAAAAACCATATGAAAATGTCACACCCATCCCTGTGGGATTTCTATTTGGTTTCATATAGGTTCTAACTGAGTGTTTTTGCAGCAATAGTTTTTTTTCATTGTTTCTGTTCCTTGTGTAGGTTATTTTGTATGTGGTTTGTGTTTACTTTAAGGTTCATCTTCATGCTGATATCTTTAATCAAAGGGTTCATGTTCAGATCAAATACAATTCCGATTTTCTATACAATAGCTGTACATTATTGTAAATAATTTGACAAAACTTGACAAATTGTTTCTTCAAGCCAACAGATTTCAGGATTTATAAAAAGGTATATTCTATAGTTTATGGAGTTGTCAGTATCCCCTGTCTATCTTGTGCTGCTGGTCCAGAAGTGTCTGTTCCAGGCTCATTTTGGCATCTTCAAAATCTGGATTCATCTTCAATACTTGTTGGAAGTCACTCTTGGCTTCATCGAAAAAACCTGTAAGACATTAAAAATGTTCATAGATAAAAATGTCATGATATGTAATGTACTGCCAAACTAGCTCATTAAGAGTCAGCAGTTTTAAGTTCTGGGCATCATGAGAACGAGTGAGTACACAGCTCCATCTGGTGTTAAAAGAAGAACACACACACACACACACACACACACACACACACACACACACACACACACACACACACACACACACACACCACACACACACACACACACACACACACACACACACACCACACACACACACACACACACACACACACACACACACACACACACACACACACACACACACACACACACACACACACACACACACACACACACACACACACACACACACACCTAATGCTGGGATCGCTCCACAACACAGACCGTCTGCACCCCTTTCTGGTGGATTTTAGTCCCATTTAAAGGGGACCTATCATGCAAAATGCACTTTTGTACGTCTTTTATACATGAATATGTGTCCCCGGTGTTCCAGGGAACTCACCAAGTGTCAGAAAACACAACCCTCTCTATTTTCCTCCATACCCAAATCTCTAAAAAAGGGTCTGCAACGGATCTGATAAAAACTGATCCAGATTTGAACACTGTCCTGACGTCAGGACGGTGGCACTACGGCTATTGGGCCAACTCCACCAATCAGGAGGAGACAGCCACGGCCATTGCCGTTCGAAAGCGCTGGAGACGCTGTAGTACATATGCCAGGCCAGTAGATGGTGCTGTTCTCACTGAATCTGCCCTTGCAGAGCAGAGCTAAAAAAAAAGTGCAAATTGAGCGAAATGAGGCATGGCTAAAATGCATGATCTGTTTGGTATTTTGAAAAGAAAAAAGTATAAATATGCCTTATATAGGTATGGTCCTACACTATATTATTCAAATATAGCATGATAGGTCCACTTTAAAGAAAGCTTGGTTTCTATAGTTCACTGAGCCAGTGTTGTGCTGTTTTGATCATTTTACCAATCTATGCATCTACTGTACCACAATGTGACCATATGACTCCAAATCAATGCAGCATTGTATTAATACACCTGGATTTTAGTCGACCTATTCTATTTTATTTTATTTTGTTTCTGGCATCATGTGAAGCATTGTCCCCCCAAAGCAAACCAGATATTAATCCTACACTGGACAAATATGATATTGAAGCCAATGAACATTGCATCCAATAAAGAAACTGCATAGTTGTCATGACAATATTCATATAAAAGGCAATTTAAATTTACAAAGAGGTGTGCATCCTAGTGATGGCAGTTTGACACTGAAGCTTCGAACGGAGCTTCAACCCTGGACTTCCTATTCCATAGAAGCAGTGATTCGAAGCTTGCTTCAAATCACGTGACATATGACGTAAGAAGCAGCAACTGCTTCAAATCACGTGACATGTGACGTCCGAACCATTAACTGCTTCATTTCCTGAATTAATCAACTCACTGGTTCGCCGTCCAATCAGGTGATTCAATGCACTGCCTCGTCTCTATTCTGACAGGTGACAGGTTGAAACAGTTTCGAATTTGAGCTCTTCAACACTTTATAACCGCTCTAAACAATGCGCAATGTGTGGGTTGTTGTCGTAGTTTACGTTGTTGCTGTTGAGTTGTTGTTGGTATTGCATTTTAATTGGGTCATTATAGAGCAAGCCAGGAAGAAAGATAGGTCGTTCTGGCTCGGGAAACACTTTGAAATGTGGAGAAGTTGTGAACAAAAAGACAATTATGACTAATATAAAAACAGTTCAATAGTTTAAGGAATAGATAGCCCAGTGGATAGAGCCGCTGGCACCAATGCAGCGATGTCCTCCGCGCAGCTGGTTCTAAGCCCGGAATGGGTGAACTTTTAATCATTGCTTTTCAACTTTAATACTTTAATAACTGATCAAAGGCCCTCTCCGCCCAAAAAAATTTCCAGCACTCTCTAGTCTCTTCTCAATAACCCAATACACACAATTATCAATCTTTAATTGCAAATAGAACATGATATTCAGTCTTAGTGTGTGTGTGCATCGAATATTTTTCAAGGCAAAGATACGTTAAACCCACTGCAGCCTTGCACTTCGCCAGGAGAGGTCGCTGTAACTGAAGCTTCGAGAAATTAACCTATTTCCGACACAATTGTCCAAGTGGTTCGATGCTTCATTCAAAGCTTCATTTTGCCATCACTAGTGTATCCTTCTCGTCTAGTTATGTTGTACAAGGCTTCATTGATTTGGGGTCAATAGGTCACATTATATGGAAGCTATTGCAAAATAAAACGTTTTATTTATTGTTAGTTTTAGTCATCTAAAAAATAAAATGGACTAAAATCCACAAGAAAAGAGGTTCCGACAGTTAGTGAAGCAGACCTAGAAAACACAAGTGAATATCAATCCAATATCCAACCTAAATATACAATTATCTTTGACATTCATTTTGAAGCAAAGCGGAAGTTAATTCGCCCCTAGATTCCACCGGGTCCGTCTGCGTCGCGGTTTTGGTCTGGCCTCCTCCGGCGTCATACCCTACCAGGCGCGTTTCAGAAGCATTTCAGAAGCGGAGCGTCTTGCCTGCCGGCTCGCAGTTTTTGTTGATTTGGGCATATTTCCTGGACAGGCTACTTTGTACAGACAAAGTTAATAATAACTGTAATATTCCAGTTATAAACGACATGAATCAAAGATGTGTTGCTGTATTTTAGTGGTAAAAAAATGCATTCATCATAATTATACTATATATTGTACGAGGGCGAGGGCATCCCCACTGGGGATGCCCTCGCGGGAACGGGCCGTCGTAAGGGGGCCGCGGTAGGCGTCGTGGCGAATGAAGAAAACCTCCGCCAACCGTAGAAAACAGGGCCGCTGTGCTGCGACGGGCATGAACATCCCGGTGACCCCCAGCCGGGAGGAGCGCTGCCCGGCCGCAGGCGAAGGCACAGCGGCGGCGGGTACGAAGTCCCCGGAAAGAAGGAGCGGTATCCCCGGGGGGCAGGAGCAGCATCCCTGGGCAGAAGGAACCGTGGACAGGGGAGAGGCCAGACGGGGTCAGACGGGGCGACGTCCGAAGCCGCCGTCGAGGCGAACCGTGAGCCGAACCGTGAGCCGCGGTTAGAGGAGAGGCCAGGCAGGGTCCGGGAGCGCGCTACCCACGGGCCGATGAAGGCGTGGGCGACGTCCGAAGCCGCTGCCGAGGCGAAGGAAGAGGCCAGAAGCGCGCCACCCACGGGCCGAAGAAGGCATGGGCGACGCCCGAAGCCATCGTCGAGGTGGCGAAAAAACGAGAGGGTCCACACGAGGCCGACCAGACATGGTCAAACCTCCTCTCAGGCACCAGAAAAAAAACTCGGAAGGGTCGTCCTGTCCACGATTAAAAACAGGTGGGCGAAAAAGCGAGAGGGTCCACATGAGGCCGACCAGACTTGATCGAACCTCCTCTCCTGCACCAAAAAAAAAAAAAAAAGAAGAAAAAAAAAAGGGGGCTAGTCGGATGTCGTTAGCCGCTAGCTGCTAGTCGCCAGCTGTCCGTTAGCCGTTAGCGAGCGCAGCCGGACATGCAGCCGCATGTCCCGAATAAACCAGGCATCGTCGTGTATCGGCTCCATGGAAGGCTTGCTGTCCCCCAGTGCCGAAAAGCCTTGGAAATGGCGAGCGTCGTCCGCGGCCATTCCGGAGGGCGCACCGAGCCACAGTCTGTGTGCACGTGGCAGCCAGGGACGTCTCCAAAAATCTCCGGCATTTCGAGAAAAACAGTATGTTTTTTGCCGTGTTCGATTCAGTCTCGGACCCATCGCGAGACTTATGTCGGGGTCACCAATGTAGTGCCGAGAGATAGGAGTCGGAGGCGGTGCTTCGAAGGTGCAAATGGGAACTTTAATGAGCAGTAGAAACGGACATGTTGTCGGGTCGCAGCCCAGGAAGAGAAGAAAGCGAAAGGGAGGGCACGCCATAAATACAGTCAACATATATGTCCGTGCGGAAACAATACCCCCAACCTGTAGTTCCATGATTGGATTATGTAACCCAGAGTATTAATCAGTGATCACTACAATATATAATTTACACAGTGCCTGTAAACCGGAGAACGCTGGCATTTCTCCTCCTACTTGAAAGACTACGGAGGGATAGGGTCTGCAAAATTAGTTTTTGTGTGTGTGTGTGTGTATATATATATATATATACATATGTGTATATGTATATGTATATATGTATATATGTATATATGTATATATATATATATATATATATATATTACTCTATATATCTATATCTATATATCTCTCATCTCTCTATCTCTCTCTCTCTCTCTCTCTCTCTCTCCCCCATCTCTCTATCTCTCTCTCTCTCTCTCTCTGTATCTCTCTCTCTCTCTCTCTCTCTCTCTCTGTACTCTCTCTCATCTCTCTCTCTCTCTCTCTGTCTATCTCTCTCTCTATCTCTCTCTATATATATGCTCTGAACGTTCCACTTCCTGCCCGACCTTACGGCTGCGCCGCGTCAAAAATAGGATTTATCCTAATTTTAGAGGAGCCCTGCGCCGAGCCTCTTCTGGGACGCTTCTGAGCCGCAACGCACCGCGTGTGGTGGAATAGCACCCATTGACTAGAGTGGCCGCAATCGCCGTGAGCACCGCGGCGCAGCCGTAACGCGCCGCTGACGGACCCGATGGAATCTAGGGGTCAGGCTTGAAAATAACAGATAGCTCTCTCCTGTTATTGTGAACTTTCGACTAAAAGGGGTCTCTGTACCCTTACCTAGTCTATAGTGGATGAGTCCTCTGTTGTAGAAAGGTGTCTCATAGCTGCTGTCACTCTGTATCGCTAAAGAGAAGTCCTCCACCGCTTCACCAAAATCCACCCCGAGGTACTTTATCTGTCCGCGGTTGTTGTAAGCAGTGGCCGAATGACTGGCTTTACAATCCCTGTGGAAATATGACAGCGTTTAAGAAAGTCTCCGAAAATGACACCGAAGTGAAAGAAACATCAACGTTAGCTAACAGTTAGCTTTAGCCGGCGACACAGAATTGGACGGAAAACAGAAGCTGTAACACAAACGACTACAGACTTGCTATACATCGCCAAAAAAGGAACAAACAGTACCTGGTCTGTAAGCAGGACGAGATAAACTTTGTGTACAGTAGTTCTGCACATTTGAAGTTCTGGTTTTTAAACTCAGAGTGAGCATTTTCAAGTATTTGAGGGTTGTCTTGCTCCATTGGCTGTGAATTGTGGGTGTTTCTCAATCGCGAGTAAAGCTGCTTCAGAGCCACTATTTCAAGCATACGTCATCGAGTGCCGCCGAAGTACTGTTCCAATCTCCAGCATACTTGGAAATCTACCGAGCCCGGCGTACTCCGTTTGGAGAAATATCGAGGCTGCACACGAGTAGACTACGTGGTCTTAAAATCCCCACAATGCTTTGCGCACGGACCAATTTCCCCAAATCTGTGGCGGAAGATGTAAGGCGGGGCCTCTCATATGACTCACACCTGCTAGCCTGTTCCACTCTTCGTTTCCGAATGCCAGGAAGTATTCTTGCCTCGCTTCTAAAGCAAGATGCTCAGCAGACATGTGCGACCAAGCAACCGTACTCGCGATTGAGAAACACCCTCTGTTAAGGTTTGTTGTGTTTCCTAAAGGCGTGACGACACGCAAAAAAAACGTCCAATCACATTTTAGTGCGTCTCAAGTAGGCAGGGCTTATCAATGGGACAATAACTTCAGAATGTATTTCATTTGGAGTTGTTTATTATATAGGATATCATTTCTACATATGTTGATGCTTCTCTGCATTTTCTTGGAGTTATGATGGTGCTGGTTGACAGAGAACCTGCTTTTACTAATATGTCACTTAAAATTGACCACAGAAGAAGCAACACATTGATAAAAACGACTATAAATGAGGCTTTTATTTATTTTTTATTCGTTTCTTTTTTCAAAATACACAAGTCGTTATGGTCATCCATCAATATAAAAGGCAGTACAGTACATTGATAAAACTGTGTTCACCTGGTCCCAAACAATGAACAAATGTACATAAGGTGCAAACGACAAAATGTAAACACTTGGAGAAAATATTCAGAGGTTAGACAGAATAATTGCCCCAGAGGAGATCTGCCTTTGGCGTGTTGAGTCGGTGCTTCTTCGCTCTGCAAAACAAGTAAAGATTACCAACTGCAAATCCAGATCGACTACATTTGTTCAGACTCGATCACTTACCCCTTTTTACACCTGCAGGTCTTGAGTAGCTCTGACCTGGAGGATGCACACACTGGCCTCTGCAGGAACCATCTGCCTGGCTGGTTGTGTCACAAATCACTGCATCACAGTGGACATAGATCTGTGGACAGACAGGATGATTTACTATACAGGGCTACATGCAGCAGTGGCCAAAAGACTCCAGATTTGGATGTACAAGTCTTACCTGGCCTTTCAGAACCTCGTCATCTTTAGTGAAAGTGAACATCTTTACAGAGAAGCGCTTGATGTGGGACGGGACTAAAACTCTGGAGTTACTCACAACGGGATGGAAAATTGTTGCATAGCTGTCATCGCGATTCTCACAGCTAGTGAAGGAATTTGAACGTTAAAATAAAGCAGCCGTTAAATGAAATTAGAATGCTTTTTAGTGGATTATTAAGAAAGTGTTTATACAACTCACTTCTGACCAAAGGTCTCAGTCGAGAACACGTAGTAGTTAGTTTTGCACAACATTACCTGTCCACAATGATGTCCCAGCTTGGCAGAGATGTCCTATCTTCATAAAGGGTTGCCCAACAGTTCTCAGCAATGAGTTCCAAGTAAGGGTCGGTAGAATGCATCAGCTCCACCTCAAAATACAGAGGCTGCCGCAGATATTTCACCACTGGATAATCCTCTGCTTGGTAGAAGAGCTCGTAGGATGGATCTGCAGGAGAAGAGTCCCGTTAGAGAAAGGAGGCCTGGACATTTACAGTGTTTTGTATGCATGAACAAGATTTAGTAAAATTCCACCATGCCTTGGGCTAGCCTCATCTGCACCATCAGCTGCCCAGTGCCGATCTCTGCAGCGGGCTCATAGGTTCTTGGTTTAGCGCTGAAGGCAACAGTCTGAGTCTCATTGACCACATAGAAGCAGGAAATGGTTTGCCTATTAGGGGAAAATAAAATGTATAAATGCATACATTGAAGGTGTTCATCTCCAATTATACAGAATCAAATATTTTACCTGTAATCAGGATCAACTGGTGATGTGTTGGCTGCTCCTTTGGCGTTGTTGTAAGACAGGCGGATCTCATTTTCATACATCATGTAGTTGTCAAAGAACTATTTAACAAAAGAAACGCATTAACATTTGCCAAAAAACCCTTTTTGTTAAGGAATAATTCTTCTAGATATCTAACCTTTTGCTCTGTGACGTTTTATGATCTACTCTGACGTCTGTTATCTCCTTTAAGGAAAGGCATTGGTGCCATATGTGTTGTTGTCACCAGTTTGTGACCGGTCAACTTGTCTGGCACGAATGGTAATTGTTGTGAGAACGCTGAGGCACTTCCTTATCGGTGTTTGTGGACTCTAAGATGTGAAATCTTTGAGGCCATGAGTGTCGGACGCAGGTGGCTCAGTGTTCCCAGCTGTTTAGTCTACTCCTTCAGAGATGTTGATTCTCTGTGAACCAGTTAAAAGGTCCAACATAGAGAGGCTCTTCAGAATTGACGTGGCAACTCTACCGTGAAGTCGGAACCTCTGACTCTTTGATTTGTGATGTGAATCCTCCGGCCGAATACTCTGAATAAACCCATCAATGTTTGACATCAAAGCTCCAACTCTCACCGTGTCTCCTTCCTGAGTCGGTGACTCCATGCATTGCTACACAGAAGTTTCCTCCACAAATTGGCGTTGTCGGCAGGATACCAACAAATCTTCAGAACTGGTAAGTGTGAGTTCAAATCTACATTTGGACATTGCCTTACCAGAATCTGTGATTGACGGTATCCTAAAATTATCTGTTTAGCTAAGCGGCTGCGTTTCGTTTTGGTTCATGAACATTTGGGGCTAGTAACCCCAGGAGATCATCCAGGGACTCTGTCCTGGCTGGTTCCCTCTGTGTGTGCTGCTCGGGACGTATGTGCCGTGCAGGCATACACGGAGATGTTTAAAAAGACCTTAACCTGTTATGCACCTTCCGCCCGGTACCGGGCGGATAAACACGTCATTTGCAGGAAACAACGTCTAAGGAATCTTAATATTGAATAAAACTATGAATGTGTTATATCCATGTAACGGGAAGAAACTCAGCTAACTGATATTTTTAATTATTTTTTTCCAAAAAAAAAAACCCCACAATGCTAGCACTCAGCCTCTGAATTACCCACGAGCGAAAAAATGTAACCTAAAACGGCACTTAAACTCACTCATAACTCCCTTATTACTTATCCTAGATGCACAACCAACCACTCGTTTTTGGTGTCCTGGAGACACTGAATCTAGTGGTGCTCTCCTCAACACTCAGTGATAAACATTCGCGACGCTATAAACGAAAGCGTACATCATAACATGTGGAGCTAAGTAGCTAGAAACGCTAACATGGCTTACCTTGGTCAAAACTGGTCTTCAATGGCATTTAAACGATAAAAAAACGATACTGCAGTTAATCCATAGGTTCATCCTATGTATCTGTGCCTTCTTTGAAATTATTTCTGATAATCCATAAGCAATAAAACAGATTTTTAGTTTCCAAACTCCAGAAGGAGAAAATCTGCAAAACTAGTTTCAGTTCTAAACGCGCAGCCCCCACCTTTTCTCTTTACAATGAGTGTGTGTGAGGGCCTCCCCCTTCGATTCTATTGGCTCTAACGGTCAGAAAGGTGTGTCAACGATCCAAATCGACCAAAGGGGGCCAGAGATAGGTCAAATCCACCCAAATGACCCCAGAAGTGGGGGTTTTTGGCTAAATCTCTCTAAAAAGGTCAAATTTCACTTGTTTTGCATCAATCTTGATACAGGGTACTTATTATATGTTGTACTTTGGATTCATAAAGCTTTTAGTCTACTAACCCATCATCCAAGGGTAGTTTTCACTATCTGTAAAAACATATTTTTGGACGGACACTATAATTTACAGTTTTTTACTATGTAAAATCTGAATTTTCTTTAAAATAAAAAACATTTATATTGATTCTGACACTTCTACATCCAACTCACAGATGTAACCTTGCTTTGATAAAAGAAATTATTCATATAACCCTTTTAGAAGTTAAGTTGTAGTCATTTGTTTTGGGCATGTCATTTTCGAGCCTGAAACATGAAAAACAGGCTCGGTGCTTAACAGGTTAATGAGGGCAGCAGTAACGTGGAACTTCTGTGTGAAATCAAAATAGAGATTTGTAATGAACAAATTGCCGAGATTCCGGGGGTTTCAGCAGCCAACACAAGCAGCCAGAGATATTACCCCCAGCGCCTCTAAAAGAAAAACACGGCTCCAGCTGCGGCTCCGGGGGATGTGTGTAAAATACCTCCCCGTATCTGCATGGTCTGGTGAAGTGAACTCAGAGGGAGAAAGTCACAGCTTTAACTCACACCACCGCCGTCTCTATTAAAAAACGAGATGGTTTAAAAGCACTCTCGTGGCTTGTGGCCGTTTACGACGTGCAGGCAAGTGCGAGGTGCGTGCATTACCTGATGCGCCACAGTTCCCTACATTGCTGGAGGAACTGGTGCCTGTCCGGGGTGCATACATAAAATTATAGGCTAATTGATCATGGGTGGGCAGTGGCATGCAAGTGTAGAACAAAACTGTGTTTCATCGTTGTGATGAACATGATGGCGTGTGTATAGGCTGGTCGAGTAGGACTACAGTTAACTGTGTAGTTTCGGATAGAAAGGGTAGCGGAGAAAAAGTCTATGCGCTCCAGATCGGGGGGGCATAGCACCACTAGAACAGGGTAGTGGGGTCGCAAGAGGATAAGATAGTTATTGCTCTTGGACGGTCTTCAGGCACCGATCTAAGGACTTGTATACAAGGGTGGGAGCGCGAGTCAAGGTGCCCCACTGGGTTCCCCATAGAGGGAGAGATAATTCCCTACCCCCTCTGAAACCTCTTTAATCCGGACTAAATTGAGCTGGATGAACTTTGCTGTCACGCTGGTGTTTATAATGAGTTCATGTTTGTTCGTCTAATTGCAGTGTGGTTTTTCTTGTACTAACCGCCGTCTTGTGCATGTTTTGTAACAACTAA